TGTTCGAAGGCTCTTCGCCACTGAACATTAACACTTTGACTGCCACGTCACCCAAATATGGGTGACACGTACATTGAAAAGTGTCTGGATTATTTAAACACTGTTATAAAATGTTTGCATGAAATTAATATCGCAGTATAATTTAAAACAAGACCTACAGTCTCTATTAACTAAACTCATATCTTTTCGACAATTTATGACTTAAAAAACGAAATAAAGTGTGTCTGGCTACGTACGGACTTTTTCACTGTGGCAGTCAACGTGTTAAAGATTTCATAAACTAAGGTCAATGTCCCTATTTCTAATCACGTCCCGATTTCTGCACAGTACGTATATATTTTATTTAATGTAAAAAGTTAAATAATAAATTAGTTATACAAAGAGTTATTTAAATTAGTTCAGGCAGCATTTTAATAGAAATAAAATTTAGTTTACTTAATCTTTAATATTGTTCGCTGAAGTTTGGTTTTGGCACTTCCATTTTCGTTGAGCAGGAATAGGGACATTTCATACTTCGTATTAAATGAACTATTTTGAAGTTAAAATGTTTTTAAAAATACTTTTATTTAAATTTAATTATAAAGGGAGGTTTAAATTTTATATCTAATAAATTCTTTTGCCGATTGCTGCACAAATAAATAATAAAAATCAATTTCTGCGATAGCAGAACTCTTACATGATTAGAAATAAGGACATTGACCTTAATCAATATGCGTCTGAAAGAAATATCATTGGTTTCGGAATTACATGCGCTATTACTGTGATAAACCTCATTCAAGGAAATTGACCTCTCCTCGTCAGTGCCGAGAAGTCTTCGAACACTTATCGACGATTTACTGTATGTAGTGCTTACGTACGATGTATACTTTCTTGTATTCGATCGAATTTTACTCAATTACTTACGTTGAAAATTTTCTATAATTTAACAGTCATAAAGATGAGGCATCCATAAATATTTTTAAAAAGTGTCAATTTTCTTGTTGTCTTTTTAAATAAATGGGATTTAGTAACAGAAAAGTGATTGTTCTGTTACTTGAGAATTCCATGATCCGAATACATGTATCCTTATTAATTCGGATGAGAGAGGCTCGACTGTAATACGTAAAAATGAATTATCGATGGATGAATGTAGTCGATCCAACGAAATAAAACGCTTACAGAAATTCAATGGCCATCGCTGGTCGTGATCAGGAATAAAAAATTGTCTGGCCGTCGTTTCCTGTTTACTAATGCAGCATTTGTGAAATACGTCTTATGAAATATGATCGTGTTAATGAAAATGGGTCGATTGCGCCCTATTGTTTCACTCAACGGAACGCCGCATTCACTGAAAGCGGACTTCATTCTACGGTGAAATTATCGACGCGAAAACGCTTCTTTTAATAAAAGGAGTAAAATACATAAATCTCATCCTTAATACCGGTCTTTTGAGATTTTCGTTGCTGTATTTCATCGTTAAAAGTGCTGAAATCAACGAATTCGTTGAGGAATGTGTATTTTCTTATTATTTCGTTAATATTCACCGAAATAATTTTATCCTAATAATGTTCTGAGAGAAAGTTTAACAATTAGAATTTCATATTTACTTTCATGACCGACTATTATATGTATAGGACAAAGTTGTCCAGAATGATGACCTTTACAACATATTTCAAGGTCATTGAAATCGGAGGTGACACCCTTATCCTGTATAATTACCATTCTTTTTTTAAAAGCCCAAGATAAAAGTCAGAAAGAGATCTTTGTAATTGTCAGTAATTAGGACAAAGTGTGGCTTAATAAAATATTGATAAAATTAATTGAAAATGATCTCTTTTACAATACAATTGTTTAATTTCTACCTGATAAAAAAAATATGTTATAAAAAAATTCATATTTCATGGGACGCCTAATACTTTTGGCAAATACTGTCGTCGATGTCACGACGAATTGCTGAACTGTCACGATGCACGGCACGGAACCATTTAAAATTCGGTTTTGCCGTTTGTATTGCGATACGGCGCGATACAACTGTTCTATATCGAGGAACGTCACCCTATGTGTACGCGTATGCCGCGGCGAGCTGAATGCCGGGGTGTTCCGCATCGCAAACACGAACGCTAACGATATCGTTCGCTTTGTGCCAAATGTGACGGCGGATCAGCGAGCGAAATTTTCCCTTATGGAATTCTCGTAATTGGAATTGCTACCAAAAGGTATATAGCCACGGGAGGCAGGGTCGTATACATTTAAGAAGGTATGTTCCTGTGACGTCATCAGCCACGTGAAACGTCAGCGCTATTATGTCTATTGTGAATGTAGCATTTCGCTCATTGCAACGAGATTACCGACATTTGCATAAATTTGTATTTTTTATCGGTAATTTATTGAAGAAAACAAGTAAACGTCGATCCGGTTGATCTGCTGGAACAGCATAAACTTTAAAATAAACGAAAATTTAACTGAATTTTGTTTAGGCACATAATATACTTAGCAGGTTGGGGGTATGCTGTATGTACAGAAATATTTGTAGCATCATTGTAATACATATGGCACTGATTCATTCGCGAATTTACTTTTTTTATAAAATAATTTAAAGCCAGATTTTTTCATAGAGTATTTCTTCTATTCATATCAATTTAACAGTCAATTAATAGTCCAGAAGCAAACAAGCCATTAAGTGACATGTAAAAATAGGTAGAGTTGGAGAATAAAACTGAAAGCTACATTTGTAAAAGCTTGAAAGTTTTCATTTAGTAATCACCTATGAAAAAGATTTCCAAACTTTACCTATTTTTCGACGTCTCAGTGTAGTGTACGTCGTTAAGATGTGTAACCTTATGCTCCTTCATTTTCTACTTGCTTTTATGCTTTATATATATGTATATGTATACAGTATTGTCACTTTATTGCTCACTCAGTTGCTTGAGACTGTTAATGTGATTATACAGAACATTGCGCGCGATTCCGCGACCTGCGACGGTTTAATTGACTAACGCCTCAGTCTTGCTGACAGCAAGAACGAAGTGTAGCGATACGCAAGTAAAATCTGGCGCAGGTGTTTACTTGTTTATCTCTCTCTCTTTCATTCTTTCTTTTACTTTCAACAAGACTAAACCTTCTGTTGACAATTCCGACGCGTGTCTAAAGAGGTATATTAAAAGAACAATAATGGAAACAACATCCAGATATTTTAATATACTTCCTAACTAATATTCTTCTGAACTAGTTTTATATTTCCTGTACAAGTTTTCATTATAAGTTCGTGTTAAATAATAACGTCACAACTGAGAGGATGCTTCTTGAATATGAACGTTCCCGCGTGAAACATGATACCGTGACGAATATTCTGTGAGCAACGAGAAACGAGAGATATAACAACAAAATTGGCGATTGCAAACAGAAAAGGTGGGATGGGAAGGGATGGTGGGGAGGGAGAAGAAGAGATTATGGAGTTGTATATTCGAGAGAAGTAGTCCAGAACTTTACCGTGGGGTGACTTCTAAAAGCGACCGAACACACAGGAGGAAGGAGGGGGAGAGAGAGACCGGGGATAAATCGAAGGAAGATAAATGTTCTCTAAGATATTGGACAGAAATTTGTGTCGTCGTTATTTTTCCTTTCCCTTCGTTTTTTACCGTCGACACGAGGCGATACGACATCGACAGGACGAGGGCCCGTCACCGACAATAGATTTACAACAACTAATACCAAGATCATTTTTAATTTTTCACATACACAGGCATTCCTTCATACGACTAGAAACATTGAGCAATAGACGATACTTTTTTTATTTAAATGATTTATCGTAACCAAAATCAGTTTTAAATATTTCATTTTTAACCTATTTATATTAAGATTCATGTAGGTGTCTATTAGGGTGGTGCTTAGAATTCAACTTTTAAAATAATGCTTGGGCACACTACCATTTTGTTCTCTGTGCTGAGAAAAGGGCCTGGTTAAAATTTTGTTACATTTCATAATATCTTAAACGTTCCTACCCGTTTATTAATATTTCGAATTGTGAATCCGTACACCGGGCTCTCTATAAAACTGAGAGTCGGATTTATAAAATACTTATAACAGTATTGGTGCTATTAGTCAGCAATTCCGACAAAAATATCCTCACATTAAGAAATCGACTTTATTAGACTAATGATATTATCTTCGAAATAAATTTCTATAAATGTGAATTGACTATTCTTAGAAGTTATTGGCTCATACACTTTTTTGTAATAATATTTGAATGTTAAATAAATGTATTAATAATGTCAAAAAGAAAATTGCATTTCTTCTTAAAAAAACACAAAAATCAATGGTTGGTATCAATGCCTAATATATAACTGAAAAAGATAACGAAAATATCGTATTACTAGTGTGCCCTGAGAAAAAAAAAATAATTTGTTTTCATTCGATAAGCACCACCCTAGTGTCCATTCCTGTATGGTTGCTCGAATTGTTTGTAAACATTCACTGCCTATACTGATCTCATAACTCTTACTATTTGTATTTAGTGCTGAAGCGACAAGAAAAAGAATCTTTTGGCCATATACATTTCAAAGCTTTTATCGGATAACACAAATAATTCTCCGAGAGCAACCAAAACAGGCTATTTGTCCATACTATACGCTACATGTTTACTGAACGAGGCATCACAGTCTCATACATATACACTTTGAACCACGCCAACGTTTCCGTGTTCCACGTACGCGATACAAGGTACAAAAATTTAGCTCATACATACCCAATTAAGAGGATATACTACTTCGTTAGGAATCAGTGATACAACAAAAGAATCCACTAACTTTAATATGATTTTTTAAATTGATATCATTGGTACGGAAATTTTTGAAATATGATCGTTAATTTGGTACACTGAACTAGGAAAAAAGTGCGAGACCTTGACAGAATACGTAAGCGTGGACCATGGCAAAGACAGGCAAAACGCAGTAACGATGGCCGTGGTTTAGAGTGCTTGAAAGTGGTTGTGCAATAATGACTCAAAAATGGTAATTGGTTAGGGCTGGTAAATGGCGGTTTACACGAGAAACGGCTGCTAAACGACCTGCTGGATTCGTACAACGTGCTGGAGCGACCCGTGGGCAATGAGTCCGAGCCCCTCGTGTTGAGTTTCGGCCTTACACTAATGCAAATAATCGACGTTGTAAGTTCAGACCACCAACTTCCACCTCTTTCTCTGTAAAGAACGCATAAATGACCTTCTCTCTACGTAACACGCACACCGCACACCGTACAGATGAGACATACAGAATGTACTCGATTATCCGAAGTGCGAGTTAAGCGAGTGGCAATAGACAGAACGTCCTTTTTGCTGCTTTCACTTTTCGAGTAGTGTTTTGATTGATATTTGCATGCGTCTTCTATTTATTATTTATTATGGTAAGTCTAAGTTTTGTTGTTTATTAAGTTGGAGGAAGTGATATATACGTATATGTATATATACTTCCATGCATGTATGGTGACTCACAGAAGCATTCGAGTTGGATTAAGTATCCAGATTATTAAGTATAGACGTCGTGCTAACATTGGAATATTAAGTACGTTGAGTAGACTATAGAAAATATGAAAATATTTACATTAAAAATATTCGCCTGGAAAATTGTATTAATTACGTATACGAGTAGACAATAGAAAATATGAAAATATTTTTCTGAAAAATAGTATAAATTCTTTAGTATTCCTTTCGAGAATTGTAGTCTCTGAGAGTTAATACTCGCATTGAAAACTAATTTCTGATTGTTTTAATAGACTAATATGGTATTTTAAAAATTGTTTGATTATGCAGTAAATATTTGAAGTAGAGTATCAGTTATGGTTGATCGAAAATTGTATATAGATAACTAATAAATCTCACTTAATATCATCAATTTGAAAGGCAATATTTTTCGAATAATTACAATTTTTTAATTCTGCAAGTCTATCTGTTAGTCGCTGTATTTTATAATTTAAAAGAACAAGTTAGTGTACGCGTAATGTGGTTTGCAAACTATTGTGAAGTAATTATCCAACGAAATTATGGTAGTTAGATAAGAATTTCCTATGAACTAATTGCATGGTGTAGAAGCGGCCATTTTATGGCGTCGATGATTCTGATTGTATGTTTAACAATAAGTATTACAAAATAGAAATTTTCTAAAGTGGCGTAAACCACCTCTCGTAGTTTCTAACTTGATAAAACTGTAATGTCATGGATAGATAAGTGAAGTTGCTGCCTAGTTTTATACAAATTTTTGAATAAATGCTGATTATAAACTTTTATTTGGTCATTGAAATAAACAGCGCTTTAACTACCCCGTTGAAAGAAGAAATATCAAATATGGAATTTTGTAAAGAGAGAAAATCATTTTATCTTTCGATACAGTTTTTTATAGAACACTATAAAAACCAAAACTATGGAATTGAAAACATAATTCAACTAATTGAAGATATGAAATAATGTAGAAGATTTAACGATTTATGTATTTTCAATTTGTCGCGTAATCTGCATCGTCTGAAGATTAATCATCAAGAATTAAATAATCGAGTATCAGTGAAATTATTATTTTCTTTTTCTAACCGATAAAATTACTATATTCGCTTTTTCAAATTTATACAATACGAGTCCTTTTTGACAGAAAGAAAAATTAGCATAGAAAATTCAAAAGCGTGTCTTAAGGAATTAGGCAAATGAAATTTTAATTTCATTTAATAATAATTTTAGCTTTCATTTTCTTGCATATTTTTTACTTTACTGCTCTAAAAACTGTTCGTTAATTGAGGATAGTGAAAAATATCATGATGCTTATGCAAATTAAAATTTCCTTACATTTTTACTTCTAGATTCTTTATTTGTACCGTCTCATTATATTCCGTATAATTGATTATGTTTCTGAGAGTCCTTTAGACATATATTGTTAAATGTTCTGCACGAATTTTTAAAATTTTTTTTATGAATATGTAATCAAACGGAAAGGGTAATGAAATAAAACACGATTTATCTGTGATGTCTAGAGAGAAAGATTCAAGTGCCCCTCTCGTTAAAAAATCATCAATATTACTGTTGTGTGTACCCAACAATAGTGTATCGGAAAATCATTCGAAACGTTTTAAATTAATCACATCGATCACTGTCGGAAGCTAGAGTCGAGCTTTCAGTTACTTCCGTTGTTCCCTTGTTAACAGTTAGTTACAAAACAATTCAAAAGTTTATCCACTTAATACAACCAAGTAATTACAGTTTGAAGACCACTGAATTCTCTCTGCCTTAATATTCGCAACGAAATTAACATTTACAAAGGATGATTTGAGTAATATTTTACAGAAGCATCATTACCATTATTTACTTATAGAGATTCTGATATTGATTAAATATTTCATTCTCATTATTCAAAATTTGATATTTTCAATTCTTCTTGATTTAATACATGCTTCTCCTCTGAGAACAATGCAAATTCGTTTTTGATTAAAATTCGCTGCTCAATTATGAGAAATGCACGTGTATAAATTTGCAAAGCGCTCGAAATTTAAAATCACAAACCTTTTCAATAAAGTACACGCATGATGAAAGAGATAAACTTCACTAAGAATATAAATTAAAAGTTACTTTTTAATTTGAAGTCGTTACATTTTTAGTTATTTCTTTATTTTCTAAATATAAAGTGAGTGTTTCTATATCTATATTATTGTAATAAATTTTTTATATTGTGTGAATATGTAGTATCAGTTCATTTCTCAAAATCGTGTACATATATTTAACATATCTCAGCTAATTCATGTACAAATTCTTCCTTTGAACGAAATATTCGTACAGCTTTCTTATCATTTTAGTACTTTCGCTAGTTACTGTCTTTTAAATAATCAGTTCATTTTAATCGCAGATTTATGTTGTAGATTAGATCAACCGAGTGTACGTATGCATGAGAAATGTATCAGTAAACCTATGCATACCGACTAAAGAACAAAAAAAATATTTTTGTACACTGACAAATATTAAAGCGAAAGGTAATACCATTTCCATTTTTTATACCTGCTTTTTTGGTAACTTTCAGTATTACTCATCTGTGTTTCATTTTACGAACTAAATACTGAATTTATAATAACACAACTTGGCTTATGCAGTGATCCACATAAGCTTTACCTTTAATGTTTCAACTAACAAATGAGCTGTTTGTGATATAAGACTTGTTATGAAATTATTTTTTTACTTACAAAAAGCTATTATAAAATGTACATTTACCATACAGCTCTATACCCGTGAATCATATTACTCGAGGTTGTCGATTAACCGTCGCACTGAAGAGTTCTGCTCGGAGCACCAAAAACGCAGTTCCCGTGTTCATTTCACTTCACAGTCGTTTACATCGTACGATACCACTCCACCATTACGTTCAAAATTTTCAACGATTTGGCGTAAATAGAAATTTCATCGAATAAAATCTCTCAAAAACAGAACAACCTAATTCGACACTACGTCGCGTCGCTACAACACGCGATCACAATCGACAGCGATGTTTCCACGTATGTTATAGACACTTATACTCGATCGATGTGTTCGAATTTAGAAAAGACATTACGTGCAATACGCGCTTTATTCGACGATTCGAAGCAGATTGATCGAACAAGCATTTTATCGTGACAGAAAAAGGTACGTTCTTAAGAAAAATGGAGACAAAATGGTCACCAAGCTGTTAATAGGTTGATGCAGCTAAAGATATTATTGTTGACCTGTTCGGGTATAAGTCGTGTCTATTCGAAGAATTTTGATCCCCCATTAAGCTACCTGCAATGCTTGCAAGACATTGAAATAATTTGGCAGTACATATTCACAGCAACTAGCTTTGAAATATTTTTGAAATTTTGAAAATGACGTTTTCTTGCTTTAGAAATACTTTACATTTACCGTTTATAATTTTCAATAAAAGTTTACACAGACAGTGTTGATGATATAAATTACTTATATAAGAATAAATCAGGATAGATTGGAACCATAACTGTTAATAACTTCACATTGGAGATTGTTTGAAATACTTTGAAATATTCTTGAAATACCGATGATAATGTTGACGTGCCATATACAGGATGTCCCACTTAACGCGAGCACCTTTAGTATCTCACTCGCTTTTGATTTGCAGAAAATTTATTTTAATAAATGCTCAATGTGATGTCCATCAATTTCGATACATTTTTGCACTAATCCCTCTATCGTAGTTATTCTATTATTTAAATATTCTCTCATACATTTCTGGATTGTTCGTACTTAGGTCACATGAAGGTCACACTGTTCTAGGTCATTGGCCTCTTGTATTTTAGAGTCTTGACCTCAAATATTATTCCATGCTGATAAAAGTATGTAAAAAACATCAATAGCTAATCGAATCAAATCGAAACTATGTAACCTTGAGAAAGATGTTTGCTTGTCATAGTATCTGCTCCAAATAATACTTTCCTGTAACATTTTTTTTGTACATATCTTCAAAAACAAGTGAGATATTGAAGGTGCTCACGTTAGGTGGGGCATCTTGTATACGGGTGTTAGCAAACACGTGAGCCACTTTCCGAGGGTGGATTCTACAGGCTAAATTAAGCCAAAATTCAGGAATTTCGTCATTTCTGACTTTCATCTCCGTTTGGCATGTAAAATTACTCTGTAAAAGCGTCCCATATATTTATTAATACCCTCTATATGCGTTACACTTAAAGTTTACCATCTTCATCGAAATTTCTCAGGACGAAAATCAGGCTCGATAATTTTTACGAGAGTTAAGGCCACTCTTCCCTTCGAACAGCAAAGTCTTAAAATAGCAATATCGTGAATGCGCGCACCTACAGTTTCCCTAGATAACGTGCAACGAACACAGGTAAATATGCGCCGCGCATTGTTTCGCCGCGCCTGTTTCGTCGTTTATCGTTCCCCGTGTCCAACAGCGGCTTCTCCATTTTTTTGTGGCGTCCCTTTGTTCTCCCTTCTGCCTCGTGACCGTTTTCCATAGGACTGTTACAATCGCGAACGGGATTCGACCTCTGGTGTTTTTCATATTCGAACGACCACAAAGAATGACGCACCGCACACCATAGATCAAGCATTATGCGGCGAACTTATGTTTTTCGTCATTTCACTGCGTCTATCCGTTATGGTGGTTCATACCTGACTCTCTAGTCCATAAA